TTACTATATTTTTTATTTATTTTTTTTTTCAAATTCAACGCAAATTTTTAAATGCTTTTTTCTCGGGGTGTCGGTAAATCGGCGAAAACGGGTTAATTATTTACGGATAAATCATAATTATGCGGTGTAAATTTTTGCGTCAGGGGAGCTTTTTGTAAATATTTATCAGTTTTTTGCGCACTTAATTTAATTATAACTGAAATATTTGCATTTAATAAAATAACGTATTCACTCGTGTACGGCGCGCATGATACGCACACATACGCAGCAAATAATTATGCGTTTTTTAACGGTACTTTTCTGCATACGCTGGCAGTTGCTTTAGTGTTTTCACAATAACTGTGTGTTTGTATGCGTGTATTTATAGAGTAATCGTATATGTTTGTATGTGTGTGTGGGTGTGGTTATATAGTACATTGTAATTATGTTTGGCATAATAATATAGACATGTTTTCACAAAAAGTTTATTTATGTATGTAGTTGAATTTGTGTTTTTTGTTTTTGCTTTTGTTTTTGTATTTTTTTGCTTTTCGTGTTTGTGTTGTTGCCGCAGCATTTGTATGCATTTATTCGAGGAAAATATGATTATACATTTGTGTTGCACAAATGCGCGAAAAAAATGTTTTTAATGGAAAACACACAGTTTACTCTTTGGTTTAACGCTTTTCATAATTTTATTAAGTGTTGCTGCGGGAGGCTAATGGATTAACATTTGCTTTCATATACCATACATAAATATTATTCCCATAAATACATATTTGCAGTTTATTTGTAGTAATACATTAATGCTAATGCTATATTTATACAATTATATAATATATATATATGTATGTATGTATATATGTATAAGTCCTCTTTTAAATACAGTTCATTATTTAAGCTTGTTTTATACACAATACTCTTGTGCCTGTCAGTCCATACTTTTTTGTCGACTGTATGCACTTTTCAAACTTTCTCGGCTTTTTACAAGTGTTATTTATTTAATCTCAAATATTTATTTAAATATTACTTTACTTTACAAATTTATATATAGTATATATTTTTATTTTCTATATACTTTATAGCTGAGTCTTTTTCTGTTCGGCGTAACCAAGTGCGCGCTATAAAGAAAACTCTAATTTTTTATCTACTAACTATAGGGTAAGTAACTGAAAGTTGTGTGCGCGTCTTAAAATCTAGAAATGTGCGAGTTTTGCTTTGTTAATTTACAGCGATTTATTTTAGCTAATCTTGGAGTACGTTTTAACCTCTAAAAACATCGTGAAAATAACAGTGTTATCATTGGAAAGGCAAAAAAGCTTAAGTCTAAAGTTTGGTTGCAAGAAGCTTTCTGCTTCCCTTGCAGGACATTATAATATTTTTGGAGATGAGCATAAGTCTGCTAATATTTTATATTTTATATATTATATTTATATTTATTTTTGTTTTCTGTTTTTTTCTGATTTTTCATATTTTTGCATAATTTGTTTACAGTGTCTATATATTAAGTTATACTATTTGGTAGTCGAAAAAGTTGTTTCGTATTTCCAAACAACCTCAACTTATTTTTTTATATTTACACTAATAAATAATAATTAATAATTTTCCGCTAGAGACATTATTCCATCAGCGTAAATCGAAATTTCCAGAACGGAAGCGAGCGAACCACTGTTGTGCTACACGAACTGATATATCATCTTCTCCTTCACTCTCACAAATTTCATTGGTGGCTTGCGTGGCATTCTTCCCATGTTTATACAAAAATTTCAAAAAGTAGCGATTTTCTTCATTATTTTCACAAATTTTTGAAAAGCTATACTTTTTTTCAACTTAACCGAGTTTAATTTTTTTGTTAAATGATGCTTAAAATGTCACCTTTCCAACACTATATGTTATGACACAATGTGATTGGCAGCACTGGAGATATGCGTCTTCAACAACATCTATTCACAAAATACGAAAAGACTTTTTCGACTACCCAATATTTTATGTGCTACTATACTTCATTATAATGCGAGATTTTGCATTAGCATTCGCACGATTATGCTTTTAAATGCATACGTTTTTTCACAACATTTGTATCTCGAATCTACAATTATCGCTACTTTTTAAGTAATAATTTATTTTTAATATTTTTATACTCTTATATCGTTTGATAATAAATATAGTTAATAATGTTTTTTACATTGAACTGCAGCCTTCAGTACTTACAAAATAATATTTACTATTTAATTTAATTTTAATTAAATTTAGGGTTTTTGTGTCATTTTTTATTTTGATTTCCACTTTGGCTTATGCGTTAAATGTGTTTTGTTTCGGTTATCTAAAACTCTATTCGTCTTTTTATAAGGGAAACCTGCTTAGGGTTGTTTAACAAAGTACATATCTTTACTTGCCTATACATATACAAATAATATTTTTTATTTATATTTATATTTTTTTATTTTTAATATATTTTTTTTTTAATTTCCATTTGCTTGGTTTTGTCACGAAATTGTTTAAGGAAAGTTATTAGGACTTATCATTATTTTTAGGTGAAGTAAAATAAGGCTTTGAAAAGAAATAATGTGAAATACGTTTTGGGTAACTTTCAAAAAATGTTTAAAAAAAGTTTTAAGATATATCAATACAATGTACGAAGAACCGCGATAAATTTTTAAATTTGTTTTTTTAGAACTCTGCAAAGTGTGTCCCTGTTATCTATTAAGAATTTGCAGCAGCAAAAGCTGTTCTAGATTTCCTAAAGGAAATGTGAAGCAGTAGTTTCCTTGTGGACAGAAAATGTGGCCCAACTTAGCCGCACATTTCTTAGCCTTCGCAAATCGCTTAAGAGATCCAGGCGCAGAGAAGCCGCATTTCAGAAGCCGAGCAGTATTATGTGGCGAAAAAAAAAGCTTTAGCGTGAAAAGAAGACTAGTTTCAGAACAAATCATAAGACTTCCGCAAATTCTCCAGGTCACCTTAACCGCTGCAGCACTTCTTTCGATTTCATAAAAACACTGAGCTCTGGAAAAAACAACGGCTGTTCTAATTGGTAAACTTACCATCAGCACACCCTACTACGCATTCTCGACACAATGGGATATATCGATATCTCTCGCGAGTTTTACTGGACTCGTTTCGATAAAACTGAATATTTTTCGAAAAGAGTATCGTAAACAAGTCTCTTTGAACATGCTAAGTCTAAAGTCTTGGGAGGGAAAACACGGGGGAAACCACAAAAAAAAAAAAAAAAAATAAAAATAAAAAAAATAAAAAAAAATTAAAGTAATACACATTTTTTTGGTATTCGTGATTTGGTGCATCATGAATTTGTTCCTCTTTGGCCATATTGACATTCATCGAAAAGGGTCAGAATTGTGGAAGAAAAATCCATAGATTTTATACGCAGTTAATGCACCATCGCACCATCGAGCCACAACTATGAACGAATTTAAAGCCATCAACGCAATGACTGCCAGCGAACATCCACCCTATTCAAAAGATTTAGCTCCATGTAATTTTTTTTGTTCCTGAAACTGAAATTGCTCCGTGGAACACTTTTTCAGTCGATCAAATTTCATCTGGTGGAAATTACTTTGAAGACAGCAAAATATTTTGTGTTTTATTTACAATTTCCGTGCAATTTTTTCACTATGGATTCACGAAAAGTTCGGTTATTCTTAGGACACACTTTGCTCCACTTAGCACCAGGCTTTAATAAATTAATATTTATATCGTCACCTCAAATACAAAACAACATATCATAAAAAAACTGAATTTAAGCTTCTTACTGCTAACATTTCATTAATTAAATGTAATTTTCAGCTTTCGCTGTCATATATGTATAAATAATATATAACCAGAATATAATTAATATATAAGCAATTTATAACCAATGTGTAACTACTTTATAACCAAAACTCAATTTTTCTTTGAATATCTGTGGTTTTTTTATATATTGTTTTCTCATGTATGTTATGAAAAGTGATGTTACGTTATTTTGCATTTTAGGTGACGATATATACAAATATTTCTAGGGCATTTAGCACACACTTTGTAAAGCTGGGCTTTTAAAAATCAAATTTTATATAAATTAGTTCGTAAAGAAAACGTAAAAAAAAAAAAAAAAWATATATATATATATATATATATAGAAAATATCGCAGAAAAAGTACATCTCTCTGCTCCTAGAAAGAAAGAAAGTACTTACATCTGCACACATTTACACATTGTTTACAAGTACATAATTTAGTTTTATATTTGTATTTATAACGGTAAAGTAATTTATAACTGTTGTGTGTAGTTTTGAATAGTTTTGTTTGCTAATAATACACTTTCCTGCTATTTTTATTTACTTTGTTTTATTATTATTATTATTTTTGATTCTTTATGTACATATTTGCACGTGTATGAGTACTTACCTTAACAATCGTTATCGAAAATCATAACTAAATAATTTTAGTAATCAATAAACATGCAATAACAACGCCTATTTAGTGGTGAGTAAAAAAAAAAGCGTAAACACCTAAGTACTTCAGTCGGTAAATTAAGCCTTTATAATTGCTATTTGTATTGGATTTTCAAAATTGAAATTATTGGTTTCAATTACAAGGTGAAATTAGCAGTTTGATCGTCTACATAATTGGAAGTATACACTATGTGTGTATGTGTGTGTGTGGCACACGCCCAGTGTTATTAGTGTTCTATGCACACAAACTGCTGGCGGCTGACATCAAATGGTTTATGGCCTTTTTAGTTTTCTTCTGAAAAACTCAAATTTTAATCGCTTTAGGCGTTCGTTTTCGGAATTTTCGGAAAATGAATGCCTAAAACACACATCGAAGCAAATTCAGTTGGGTTTTAAGAGTAGTTTAAGCAAGTCTAGCAGAATGCGTGAAGAACTCATCACTAGTGTCGAAGAGAATAATTTCGTGTGTCAACGGAATGCGTCGTGCTTCGCTCGGCCACTCCACACCACCTTTTGTGATTTTATTTTGGTTTTATCTACTACATATACTCGTATTCTATAGACGTTGGAATCATGTTGCTGTTACTGTTGTCGTTGCATGCGCGAGCAACAGTTCTGCAGCATTTGTTGTTGCTGTTGTTTTAGCTGTTTTCGCTTTAATTGCTATTCGCATTGTTGGCAGTGTTGCCGCACCTTTCGGCGAGTGCTTTTGTGTTGTTGGCCTTTTTCCAAAGCCAACGCCAACTATATGTTGCTGCTGCTGCCGGTGCTGTTGTTGCCGGCGCTGTAATTGTTGCTGCACGTTTATGCTCTCTATTAATTGTGAACTCGTCGTTTCATTTCGCGTTCGATATTTTGTTTGCGCGACGGCGGCGACTGCCCAGTTGCTGCGGCAAGCAGTCATTGCTGCAACTTCTGCTGCTTTTGTCATTATGGCAGCTTTTGAAGTTGCCTCGTCAGCACTTGTCCCACTTAATAGTTGCCCTTTGGCTCGCGCGTGGTTCCTATTATGCACTGTGGTTGTTGTAGCCGCTGTCGTTGTTGTTCTGATTGCTTGCATTGTTGTTCCTTTTGACGCCATTGTTTCACGCCAAACAAACAATTGCCGGCATAATTGGTGAAAATATCGCGTAGCATGCCAGGCCGCCAGCGCCACTGTCGTCCAGCGTACCAGCAATGACAGGCAATGACAATGTTGTTGTGTTGCGCCATTGGCATTCAAGGATGAGACAGCACCTGCAAAAGAGTATATAACCAATTGCAGATAAGCAAAATTGTAAAGTGTCAGTCTGTGTGTCTGTGTGTATGGGTGTGTGAGTTCTCTTGAAGTGTTTGCTTGCTGCAAACAATGAAGAGTGCAATTTAATTGGTATTCCAGTGAAGGATGCAACAAGATCCGAAGTATGTACTTGCAACTGAAGAGACAAACGAAAATATGCTGCTTTCGAATTTAATCACAAAGTACACAAAACCTGATGAACCACCACCTACATACTATATATAACTACCAACGGGCTTTGTAACGTGACACCAACTTTTTTGCCGCGAGCTTGTGAGAAATCCTTGGTAGGGAATCTAACTCTTGGAATTTATTTTCTTGAAAGGGGAGAGCGCGTGATTTGTACGCTGAGAGCAGACTTTTTTGACCGGAAAGTATGTCTGTTCGCAATCGTTGTTCGATTATGCTTTAACATTTTTTTCCAGAGTTTTCAGTGACGGTCGTTAAATCACCAAAAACTAGCCGAATGCGCATCGTTCATCCGCCTCTGTTAACGGCCATGACATTGAAAAAGTAAAAGAAGCACTGCTTGAAAATCTTCTTGCTGGCATCAGCGAGATAGCAGAGGATCTCAACATATTCTTTGAATCGACACTTTTTGGTTAATGTTTTGGGTATGAAACCGGTTAGTGCTAGACTACTACCGAAAATTCTGAATCTTTTGCAAAATCGAGTTAAAAGAGTAGAAGTAGCAAAAGAGATAACGTACTCGTGGATGAGTACAAACGTCATTACTGGTGATGAAAAATGGGTTTAGGTCCATGACGTCGAAATTGGCCGAGAATATAGCAAATCGCGCTCCAAAATTGAACCGAAACTAAGAAATTAAATTCGCTGCAGGTACTGCAGACCATCTCAGTCGAGGGTTATGACAAGTGAAACGAACATTTGGTTAAACGGTGCCATGTTTGTATTGGATCAATAGCCTGGTTTGAAGGTAATAATGAAGATTTCTTTTAAAGTGCGTGAAAGCTTTTTTTTTTGTCAGGCCGGGTCTAACTTGATCAGATGGCAGATGGGGAGGCCAGGCCATAGCAGAATCGCGGGAAACTGTAAAACTTATGAGCTACCAAGAAGAGGCATCCTAAAACCACTATCGCAAGCGGGTAGGTGCTCCCGTATCCTCTTGTGCTCTATTATTATATAGTTGGGCTTCGCGAAACCTTGACCAGCGCTGGGCCATCATCGGTACATGCGTTGTCGCAAAAGCCTTTTAGAACAAGAAGATGTGGCGAAAACAACTCAACACTTCCTTCCTGACTGTCTTGCGTTTGGAAGGGTAAGATTTAAACATTTGGGGGCGCTGACTGTCAGAAATTTAACGCCTGTGAAAATTTGTATTGGCTTCTAAGCGCTTCGCTAATTTATATGTTCCAACACAGGAGTTCTTCTTTAGCTTCAGAAAGGACTACCGGGGTACCATACGTGCGATCTTTGTTCAGGCCTAACCTAACTAGGTTACAGTCTAGTTCTATTCATATACAAAAAAGTTACGGCGGAATTTGTAAACAAAAATCAATGCATTGTCTGAACAAGAGGCTTAGTTTAAGCTAGAAATTGCATTTGTACAGAGTAGTACTGCTATGTAAAATAAAAACATTATTTTCCTCAGCAACTAGTTTTATCGCTTTGTTCTAGTCTTAAGTTACAAGCCATGAATTTTAAAGAAGAATGCGCAACGAGACGAGAGTAATTTCTGTTTGCGGAAAATAAAATTCTTGCTTTGAATACATTTTGCATTTTATTTCCTAAATTATTGTAATTCCATTGAGAAGTATAATATCTCTTGCAGTTCCTTAACTTTTCAAATTTAATGAAACCTGCCCATCTAATTCTTCCGCAGCCATTAAAATAAAACTCCACTCTTCCATAAGCATTTCTAAATTTCCCGCTGCTGCATGTGGCCATCTGTCTGTGAATGCGCTTAGTTGACACTTTCCCGTTAGACACATCCAAAAATGTGCTTTATGTATGGTAGGTGTGCGTACTATATACATATTCTTCATCATTTCTTTTTCCCAAAATCATCATAACTCTAAACAGCGCCAGTTAGTTGACATAAAATATTTCACGACATACTTAACAATTTGATAAATGTACGCTCGTGTGTGCATACGAAAAACTTTCAGTGAATGAATTACTACGAAATATACATACATGTGTTCTTATGTAAATTCATAAGCAGCAGGTGAGTTGCAAGGAGCGCTGCAAACTCGCAACAGTTTCCATTGCACTTGTTCTAGATTTTGCAACTCGCTTTTTGGACTGTCTCCCTTTTTTTGAGCTTCAGCTTTCTTTACCTTGTTGCACACGTCACTGCTGGCTTTTTGAGTTCGGTACGGTTTCCCCTACTTATTCCTAACAAATTTCATCTCCTTTATGAGCACGTGTACAAGCATTGTACACATGCATTAATACACATGTATGAGTGAGTCAACCTACTTTCATTTTGTTGTGCCTTTTTGGCCAACATTGTATTGCAGAACTGCTCCAAAATTGCATTTCTCTGTAGATACATATAATACGATATATACGTGATTCTAATATGTGGTGTCCCGCTTGAAGCTTGAGCTTCTTAGCTTGCTGTTTATTTTCTAGGAAATGTTGGTTTGCGCTTAGAGTTAATACTATTCTTGGTCATATGTTTACAAAATGTTACTTAAATGTTGAGAATGACTTGTAAATGAGTTTTTATAAGAATATTGCCTACTTTTTCTAACAACTCAAACTGATATAATTACTATCATATTAAGTGACTATATGGAGCAGACCAGTGGCTTCGCTTTTTAGTCTGACTAGTTTCATACAAATATTGTTTACTTCTGTCCAAACCTTAGCGGGCATCTGTTATAACTATTATTTCATAATGAGGGAATGAGTACTTATTACAATGTGTAATTGTAAGCAGAATTTGCTTTCCGTTCGCACTTACCTTTTATATGCGTCGTGTATGTGTCCGATCGATCTATCAGCTGCTCATCCTCCGAATCAAAGTAATCATCTGAAAATGTATTAACCGAGTTGATGTTGTGTTTGTGGCGTTCCTCTTCAATCGATTTCTCTGTCGATTTCCAGTAGACATCGTGAATGTGTGCAGTGCAGCGTATCTGGAAAGTAAAGCGTTGTTTTTAAATTTAAATAAGTCCCATTTGGATAAAATGGAAGACAATAAAATATATATATATGTATATAATATCAAAGAGTTTTTGATATAACAGACAGGCTGAAGGTTAGGTCAGGTTACACTGGCTGGCTGTTAAGCTAAACATAGACCTACAGGTTGAAGTTTTCGTCGCGCAGGAATCAACGCTTCTGCGAAGCTTAATAGAAACTTGTTATCTAATTCTGATACTTCATCCTATCCCTTGAACTGCTAAGCTCCTAGGTACCTAAACTGCGTTCTGAATAAGGACATAAGCCGAAGAAATGTTCAAGCGTTGCTTTTATTCGTAATTCACTGCACTTTCTACATGCATCATCGTTAATAATGCATACAGGTTCACTTGTGATGCCAGTAATTACTGACCTGTGACTAAGCCAACCACCGTCCTGCAGTCTTTTCGAGACCGTTTGGTTAAAAAGCCTGCGGACTTCCCTTCCGCTCCCTTGCGCATGGTCTTGGCGATCGTGCAAGCTGTTAAAGCATTCCATCTCACTTTGATCCCTTAACTGCTAAGCCGAGTTCTGACATAAGGTGAAGATATAATGCAACGTAGCTCTCCTGCCTACTTCTCTGTACTTTCTACGTTACATGTATTATCGTTAATAATGTCCATACGATTCACATGTGACGCCAGAAGTTTTTATTTTATCCAAAGTCCTTTGCCTATCGAGCCATGTCCGAAGATTCTTGGTTCCTAGCGCCGTAAATCTTGCAGCTGGTTTCGCTGCCGAGCTTCCGAGTGCCAATTGATGGCTGATTGAGCAACCTTTTAAGTGCAGCCCTTGAAGTGGTTCTTAGTGTTCTCTTCATGCAGAGAGCAGTAAGATGTTCTATGCGTTCCAAGGGTTTCTTGTATAATATTTTATTTGCAGTGGTCTACCACATCACCGCAATGTAAATTGAGATTAACTTCACTAGCGCTGTATAACACCAATGATTAAGGACTGGTAATGGACTTCATTTGAGTTTCCACGACAGTTTGGTGTCCAAAATTAACCCCAGGAACTTGGTTTTAAATCGAAGTTTTCTTTCATTTCGACTTTACTAAATTTAGATGCTTCGAAACCGGTCTCAATGTCAGAAATTAACCTTGTATTGTCTTTTATTTTGTGGATAGAAAAAAAAATACGCTAAAGACCGCAATCCGAGATTGCAGTACATACTGAAGTTATTTGTATTTCGATTAAAGTAATTTTATGATAATTTTCAATGGCTTATTTAGTTTATTGTGAGCTTTACTGACGCGACAGAGCTTTGGTATATGCAAGTATTGAAGAACGATATGCCACATTATGTTAATAAATTTAGCTTGGTAGCTATCTCCATGAACTTCACGTGAAGATTGGACTTCTGTCTTTCCCAACATTATCGATCTCCTTTGGTGATTTTTCAATCATTGATGCATTTTTTTATGCTGCAGACGAAGTCAATCAGCTTCAACCCATTTTGGGATGTTTCATTATGGAGGCTGAATTTACCGACTGTTGTACCACAGACACCTTCTTTGCCCACCCTGGCGTTAAGGTCACCAATCACGATTTTGACATCATGGCACACTCACAGGTGTGCTCCAAGCGCTCATATAAGATATCTTTGCTCACGTCGTTTACCTACGTCGAGGTGTGGACGCAAATCAGCGATATGCTGAAGAACTTCGCTTTGACGCGGGTTGTGGCTGGACATTAGACTCTTACCAGGACACCAACAAAAAGGGTAGGGGCACCTTCCCAATTAATAGAACGGACATTCCAGGTGCATGCTCTTAAATCGTAATACTTAACACGCTTGCACGGGTAGTTATACGCGGCTATTTTGATCCTTTCATTGGAGGTGGGTCCCATACCGAGCGCTAACTCTGGGGAGGGATAATTCGCCTTCTCACTTCCGCTCGCCTTTAAGGGGCTACCAGAGGGTTCTGAGTGATACGTCTAAGACCGGAAGACGTGAGCTGCTTTAGCCATATGTAAAAGAATCCTCACTTGCGTGAACTTCTGCAAATGACTCCATCCAGAATTGACTTAAAGTTAAAAAAGTGCTATTTTTTCTATTGGAATGCCTTGCCATAACTCTCTTCTGCTCTCTCTCTTTCTTTCTACCACAAATGCACTTTGTTTGACTCCATTGTGCCATAAAAAGCAATTACACATTTGCACCGAATGTGTGCTTTATTATACGACTACAAACGAGCTTAACGCTCGACCAGCACTTGCACTTGCGACGCAGCTGTTGCAACGCTATTTGCACGGTTTTTTCAAAGCCTAAGCACATATTTTGCTGCGTTTTTGGCTTCTTGGTTGGCCGGGGCGAATACGAATGGCGCACGCAAGCAATAAACCATTCGGGCATTATGAACAGCGGTTGACTTGCCATGCGGCAAAGGCAATCGAAAGCGGAGCATGACAGTAGACACACGCACAACCGCTCTTCGTTCGCTGCACTTGTTTTCGGAAAGCGACAGGACACGTAACTGCGGAAAAGAAACAATTAAATCGCATCAAGTGGCTTAAATGGCGCGTGTGCGCGCGTGGCGCCTCCAACAACTATGTAGCAATCGTCCGAACAAAATATGTGCTTCTGCAACATAACGGACGCATATTCATTGCGGCCAATTAAGTAGAAGGAACATTAAATTGTTTATATGCTTTTATGGCCATTTCTTTCGCGCTCGTGCCCACCCTTTCAACGCCTCCGCAATAAGGCGAACGGTACTTTGTTGCTACTTAAAGTATGCTATTATTGTTGTTGGGCGGTTAAACAGCAACGTGACCTCATAAAAATTGACCGTGATCACGCGTCGGACTGTTTTTCTTGCAACGCGCCACTCGCTTTCCTACGTTTAGATTAGTTCGTAGAGGCTCTTTTTTTGCGAACGCTCAACGCAATTTCAGCTGCCACTATCTGATTGTGGGCAATTCAATTATACGCCGTGCTGCTGTTGCTCAACTGCCGTTTGAAGTTTTTGTTTATCGCCTAATAGCTTAATTAGCGGCGCTTGTTCTCGGCTAACGGACATTCGGCGTGTTCGTGGCTGCTGTGACTTGAATGACTTGTGAGTCATTTGCTGTCATTATTGCTATAAATTATGTATATGTGCGCACTCGTCTCTTTTGGGCGAAAATTTCGTTTACTAGTTTGGTAGACAGGGAGCAAACGCGAAATTCTACTTTGGGTGCGTGCTTTGTGGTTTTTGAGTTGTATCGTCATTTCTTTCGCTTACCTTCAATTTTCCTGAGCTGAAATGCTGCGGTGTGACCACGAAGTGTATGCCCGAAACGGCTGTTTCCAGTTCGCGGGCCTCCCGCATGGGTTTGTGGTGGCGTATATGAGAGGGATTGGTCTGAAAGTAAAGAAATTATATTGAATTACATAAATAAATACCATACTTGTTGCTTTTTTTCTTAGTTAAACGAGTATGTGGATATTTTTAAGTTCACTTAGCCAAGCCTTCTAGATTTTTCTTCATTTAAGGCGTCAAAACAGAACTAAAAATGAGTTCAGGGTTTGGTAACGCACGTCGCTGAAATCATTATTATAACCTGAACAGAGTAGATTAAGTTTTCCAAAAAAGTTCGTAATACTACTCAGAGCTTTCATGGACTTTAGAATAATATCCGTATCGTACTATTTGCTGAACTAAACCAGCCAAAGGCACAAAATCCATCGGCCCGGACGAAAGAAATATGCGGTTGCTGGAATACCTACGCTCGGCAGTAGTAAGGTTTTCTATTTATTACTTGTACCCTCGATATACCAGATTTGTGGAAAATCGGAAGGGTGGTTCCACCACTGAAGCCTGGGAAGTCTGCCAACCTAAAGAAGACTTATCACCCGATATGTTTACTTTTTTCAGTAGTGAAAACTCTTGTACCATACAGAAACTGTCCTTATACATAAACAGCCCTGGGAGAAGAGCTATCCTCGTAGCGTAGGACTTATGTAAATATCACCACATAACGCTACGTGAGGACATCGAACAAACAACGCTCCCTCCAGCGGCTAAAGCGGTGAACCATTATCTCCACTATTTTGAGGTTAACAATCTACAGCAAGGAGATCTTTCTTCTAGAACTCTTTTCTTTACTGCAAGGTGCCTAAAACTTTCCCCGGTAAATTTACGAACTGGAAGAAGGAGTACAGACTGGGCCACAACATTTTCGTAAGCTATGAAAAGTTCTTACGTAAAACAAACCTAAAATTTTAGGTGTTGCAATTACAGTCTGCACTCCTTCACTCTGCTTACAACCGCGATTGGCACGAAAGTACAGAGCCACGACAAGATCCTGAAGACGCAAGCCGGTAGCATTTGGGCAAAGAGAAAGATGCATTGTTGACAATCGGTCGTTCGGTTAGTCGAAGTTACAAACTTGTCAGAATACCGCACTGTACAGCATAACAGAATGCCTCCTGATGTCTCCCATCGAACATCTACGCGGTGAGGTCCCCTTTCTGGCTTCCCGTAAAAAAGCATATCATTCCTCTCTTCAAGAAATTTGTGCTCGTGTATTTTCGCAGAGACTATCACTAAAGCCAGCTGTTTGAAGCGGGGACGCCTTTCTACAAGACGACCAGGAACTTGAGCAATATACCGACGACCTTTCGAACGCAACCAATTTTGCAACAGATACTCACAAAAAGCGGAGCTATTGCAGCGGAGCCGCCTTCTTGGAACGTCAGGATAATATTTCTCCAAGACGTCGACAAACTGGAACAATGTATCGACCACATTTCGTATTAAAAGTGGTGCTGTTGACACCAATCTCCAAACAAATTGATAAGGGCCACTATAGCTGTCCTACAAACTGTTCGATCAAAATCAAGTTCTCAAGTTTTTCGTACAACTTTTTATTTCTGAATGGCTTCGGTACAATTGAAATTGTTTTTTTTATGTCTTTTATTTCGTTTGGAATTTTTAGAAAATGTTCAAATATGACTAAAAGTCAAACTTTCCTCAAATCAATGAAAAATCATGTGCCGAGCTCAAAGTTTGTCAGCACTTTGCATACTTATTTATGCTTCTTCAAGAATTTACCGGACATTCTTTAGAGGTTGAGAACATAAGGCAGGAGTTCCTTGGTATTAATTGTGCCATAACCTCAAATTCCAGCAGAAATTAAAAATATTTCCTCGCTTCCTTTATCGTGCCAATTCTGGCATAACTGAAGAAAAATTAAATTATTCTCGTAAATTACTTTTCAACTGTCATTAAATTGTCAGTTTGCTAGTTTGTTTGTATGTTAACGGTACAAAAAAGTAACTGTTATTGCCGAAAATCGTCTCCATAATTTGCAGAACTTTTACAATTTTGTTTCGGCAGAATGAAATGAAAATTCAAGCACACAACTGCAGATTTATGACAATTTGTACTATAACGGTAATGACAAAGGCGCATGCAATTGTCGTTATGTAATCGTATTTGTATGCGATGACTCTACTATACACCACATACATACATACATATGTAGGGAATAGTAAAAATGAGAATGCACGTGCAACGAGAAACACTGCCGCTTCGGCTATAAGTATCACCGAAGCAAAATGAAATAGCGCCAGAAAGTTGGTCCTGCACTATTTTCGAATATTTAAAAGAATAAACATATCAACGGCCAACATTTTCAGGAATGGCTTATTACGTTTGCGGTTTTTTCGAGATATTCACCAAGAATAACAATCACCGAAAAACTTTAAATAAACAGACCACACCGGGGCGACAGTAAAACTAAATTATTAGCAAGCAAGATAAGCGTGCAGGTGTGGGCCGCGCGCTTAGGGCGTGCTTACAACGCCCGCACTTGTGGTGTGGCGAGGCGAAATATGGTGACCAAATTCAATGCACTTCCAAGTTTGGCAGTATGCGATTCATGCACATGTGTGGGTGTGTCGTGGATAAAAGTTTTCGGAGCGTAGGTAAGCGCATCTATGGATGCAAAGTTTGGCCTTTTATATTAAAGTGGAGTGCGTAGCTGTGCAACTGTGGGTGTCCAATGGGATTTAGCGGAAGTTTTTAGTGGCAAACAAATATAAAATATGGCTACTAGTTGAGGAAATTTATTTTCCTGTGGGAAGCTGTTCGCTGCGTGCTTTGTAAAATGTGGAAAAAGGGCGAAGAGTTTAAAACTCAATTCTTAAGTTCTTTATTCCTATTTATTGTTAAATATAAGTGCTGGTATTAGAAAGGTTGCTTGTTGTATATTGTCATCGATTGTAACAGATTTTTTGAAACGAGCTGTATGATTATTTTTTATAAAAATATAATATGCACCGAGGCATAATCCAAGTCTTGGCCTTCATACCCAAAACGTTAACTAAAATATCGTGAATTAATCGTCATTAAAAGACGTGGATGAATGAGTCACATGAGTCAAGTTTTTGATGACTTTACGAGCTTCCCATTTCGATCTAACTCGTTGTTCAGTTTCTTTACGGTAAAAACCGCGAGACAAACTTTTCCCGTCCTACAAATTTGTAAAATTTCTCAGGAACATTAAAATAGGTTCTACTATGTTGGATTGGGTCTATTGTAATAAGGGGATCTCATTTTCGCAGCTTTCTACGCCGGTCCATTTTGTTACCGAGAACTCCAATAACTCTTTATGCCCTACTAAATCGACAAACCGATCACAAATTTGTTGAGGCAGCTAATGATAGTTTCGGCTCGTTCGCCGTAGGTATGACTGCCAAGATGTTTCAGCCTCAGTCTTGCAAATGCTGTATACTGGAGGAGAAAGAGACTGCGATCTTTTTCCAAACAACTTGGGCAATGTGCGTACGAATGGTTTCTTGCAGCATGAATGCTTATTGGATAATGTGCAGTAAGAGCTCCTAAGATTGCTACAAGATAAACTTTGTAAAGAGCAAGCAGTTCCGTAGATCTTCCACACTAGGTCAGAAGGGCCTCGCAGTCGTACATGAGCCGCTAATTTCACATTAGGTCCACAGCTCCATTGCTAGATTGCAAGATGACAACGGAAATCCAACTTGTTCCCACTCCGAAGTGAGCGGGGTACGGGTGCACCGTTTTGCAAAATCGTCAGCTTTGCAGTTACCAACGACTCCGCTATGACCAGGTACCCAAACGAGGCTGATGATGAAGTAGCATGATGTTATTTTTAGCGAGAATATAAACTATTTGAATATGTTTGAGTGCACAGTTTGCTAACTCAATGCTAATACATCCGCTCCGTATGGTCGAGAAGTAAATCTACTACTACTTCAATGCCAGGAAGACACTACAGTAGTCGGGTAGCCTAAATCTAAGCTTAAGGGAGCGTTACAGTAGATTTCTCCTCCAACTTTCCCTCCTAGCTTCGACTCATTCGTGAAAAAGTTCACTGGGCCTCTTCGCCAGCGACTTCTCCCAGTCTTAGTATCCTTCGTGAGTATGTTAGCGGAGAAACAGCTGCTAGGAGTAATCCTTGTAACACAGTTTTCAGGATTTAATCGCAGGAGGACAGAATTTCAACGTGACCCTATTTGGACGCCTTTGATTGATAAAAAAAATAATGCAACATAACCTTAGGTCTAAAATCACAAAGGCTCGCTAGACCCAGCTCTTGATAAAGCCCAAACTGCTTCTGGATACCAGCGAAGCGTTCTGATCCCTTTTGGAAACATAGATCCAGGCACCTTTAACCTGCGTTTGAAGACTGCTGTGCAGTCAGTTATCAGGAGTTCTGGCGTTTCAGGCTAAATATCGCATAACATGGAATTTACGCAGCAGCTTGAACCATGTTGTATGTTGCAAAATGTGACCAGTAGTCTGAGTTTATCCTTATGGAGGTTAATTGCATATTTAAGCCTCACCCTCCATTAGCAATGTGGCGTTCCGTATGCCACGTAGTTGTTGTCAATTCCTCTCTCTGCCTACGCTTTCTTATTTCCGTACCGAGATTTTCTGAGTTTTAGAACGGTCTTTGCGGTCCTGCACTTCTCTTCAGTTATCGAATAAGGTTGTGTTAATCTAGGAAAAAAAATTGTATCAATGGACCGGGTGAAATTTTATACCTTGATTAAACATTGATTTCTTTATTAATCCATTACAACCAGACAAAGTTTTGAAAACACAACTTTAAAATTCTGAAACGGCCAACACATGACAAACAATAAAGCCTTCTGAACTTGCGGTCGGACCACCTTTGCTTTACAAATCCTTTTAATTCCCTGTAGGCTCCAATTACGCCAAGTTAGCGCTAGCACAGCTCTGAGTTTTCAGGGACAGCTACTGTGTGGTGCCCAGTCGAGGACACGCCATACAAGAAACACCCACGCACAAGCAAAGGGCCGGCAGCTGACAGTCATGTGAGCTTCAGTGAAAATTTGCGGTCTTGCGACGAGGCGAAGGTGTGCTTTATGGACCGGCAGATGCGAAAGCAGTGTGCGGCGCAGCGCAAGTACTGGCCGAGGTAAAAATTATGTGCAGCTGCGCTACGAAAATAATGCTGCTAATGCAAGGGGATGCCGTCGTTTGTGATTGTGTGTGTACGTGTGAGTGTGATGGGCAGCGCAGTTGGTTGCAGCCAAAGTTTTGTCAGGCGTACGGCAACTGTTGCCTGCCAGCATGCGGACTTGCGGTAATGTGTTTTACATGTGAAGAATTTTGCGCCACACACATAAGCTGCTGTGCGCGCAAGTGAGCGTGTGCTTATGTGGCGTATGTTAAAATTGTTGTGACATGTTTGCTGCGGTCGCACTACGTGTTGTATGCAACAGTGACGCCGTCTAAACTGCTCTCTGCAGTCGACTGTAGTTTATATGCTTACACATTGTTGTTGTTGCCACTATTACATACATCATGTGCCTGTAATTATGCTTAATGTTCGGCCGGAACATTGAGGCGTGTCAGCGGTGTGACCATCAGGCCCATGCCCCTACGCTGGTGCATACGGAGCCGGTTACGTGTGTTGCTGCTGAGCTGCGGCATTTTGCATATATTTGCATTTAGGCAGTGGAGCCAGATTTCGCAAATTAGCCGAAAGAAGTCACTACATGCAGCTGATACTTGCTCCGGCGGAAACTTTTGCGAACCGAAATTTTCATGCAACACAAACAAAAACAATTACTACGTACTAGGTGTACATAATATTCTCCGAAACTTTTGCTTTTAACTACCACAAATCACCATTAACCAATTATGCGGCAGCGTCCTTGTACATTAAGGAGCATGTATATGTGGGTGAGTGTGTGCGCACGTGTGCAGTATTTATTTAAAATTTCCAGAATTTTCCACATAGTTTGCTGCAATTTGAGTGTGTAAATGTTCCGCTGCAAACCAATTCGCATATTTAGTTATTTATAACTGTTTAATATTATGTCCGAAACGTTGATTGCCTGCCACTTTGCACCACGACTATCGCACACGCCATTAATTATGCGCATTTGTATTTAATTTTTAGTAAATTTTACATATTTTGGGACTTTCGAAATGCATGTAATTAAAATTTGCGTGCTCAAGTATTTAAATACGAGTAAACAGCTGCCAACAGCCGGTCGGTAAACAAAATTTAATTGAGCGCACAGATACGTTGCCGAATTAGAAAGATTTATGCAATAGTATTTTCTACATAAAGCTCATATTGAATAGTAACTCTCATTCCGAGAATTATTCAAGTATTTTGGTGAAGATATGCCCAATATGCCCAATTGATGCCCCTTTAAAGGATGTTTTAAATACTTCCAGGCATACTCTCCACTAAATTCTGTCCGTTTTTTTCGAACAAATAGTAAACATTTTCGGACAGACTTTAAAGTCGTGGAGTTATGTGGTAACAAAGTAGTAACAAAAATAATAACCGATATTATTTCTCATAAACTATCGGGTATATCAGCAGAATAACCGATATATATAATATACTGGGTATTTACACTTGAAGAAAATTACAACGTAAGTATCATTTTATTTGTGACCAATTATACCGCGTATTTTCAATGTGTCATTTTATAAATTTTATGTAAATTTTTTAAAATTTGAAATTAATTACACATACACCCACCTCTCGTCCATTTATCGTCCAGGTTAGATTTGCCGCTGGCTTGGAATGCCGCGATGTGCAATTGCCACGAACTATGTCACCAACACGATAACGTGATTTTATGCCGGAAATAGCTGGATCCTTTCCCGGTACTTCTGAAACAAGAGAAATTGCATTAATTTTGGAAGTTATTTATAAGATGGTGTTGTAATAAATCCACAACACATTATCTATGGAAATTTTTGAGGAGAAAGCTAACTATTCGAGTAAGGAAGTGCTAAGTTCGGGTGTCGCGACTCAGACTCAAGTATTCGCCGATATTTGTGATATAAAGTCAGTCGGAGGTTCGAAAATCTATTCATTAGGTATATGGGTACTATATGGGAGCTTTATTGAGTCAGTTTTTCAAAAAATAATTCTCTCTCCTAATAAACGTCACAAATTGATCGATATTTTCAATAAAAAGTTGGCATAAGAACTGTGATTTTGGGACTTGCATCTAAGTCAATTAGTTTGAGGTGATAAACACAACAAAGTTAAACAAAGCTATTATATCAAATATAAAGATACAACTTTGGACAAAATATTTATGAAATTATCTTCAATGAAAGTCTTGTGGTTAAAATTTCGAAATTTATTTCGACACATTTTTACTTTACTCTACTTTTACTCCAACCAATATTTTCCTCGAAAACTTTACTTAGCTCTAGTGGACCCAATACTTTAAAAACTGTTTTCCGGGCCAGTGCGCCTAAATATATGTAAAAATAATTAATTGTTTGTGTGTGTGTAAAAGAGATAAAAGTTTGTTTTTGTAGAAATCTCTATGTCATCAGGTAATTAAGCGCAATTGGGCCGACGAAGTCATTACCGTTGCCGAAATCAGGTCAAAGGTGAAACTTTCAACGCCTAAAAATATGTATGCAGAGCATTATTTAAAACTTTTTGCTCTGTAATATGGCAGCGAGAAAAAGTAAGCAGCGTTTGCTGAGTGTTGAACCGGTAATGCGCGACAAAGGAGAATATGAGATGGGGCATGACGAAAACTGAAGCTGCCGTTGGCGAGCGGTAAAGAGCTGGCTGGCGGGCGCCAAAGTGCATTAAATGAATAAAAGTTTGAATAGCAAAAAGTTGTGCTGCAAAATGTGCAACGAAATCATTAATAAAATTTGCACTTAAAAGGCGACGAGGCGACAATTTACAATAAACAAAAATGAGGCGAATAGCCAGAAGTTGAGAGTGCTCGACTGCGTTTCCTGCGAATGTAAAAAGAGTTGTACACTAGCATATCTTTGCTCTCCGCCAGACATGAGATATCCTTCTTGCAGTGTTTTAATAAACTTTTCGACAATTCATGTTTTCTGCAAGTGAATTCTCTTCGTCTCTCTTTGGTTTCACTCTTTCTCTGTGCTTTTAATTGTGTTTGATGACTGCCTGAATGGTTGAGTGTAACAACCTGCCTCTTCGCTTTCAACTGGTTATCTGCCCACTTTATGATTTGCTGCTTTTATTTTCGTCGGAGCCGCAAAAGTCCAGAACTTGCATTAAAAATCAATTAAAAGCTGTGATAAAAGCGGCAGTCGTAAACTCTCTGCAGGTACTTATTTCGGTGGCGCCAGTGAAGCACATTTGAAAAGTTGAATAGTTGAAATGAGTAATGCGAATTTAATACTTTTCAAATTTTTTGTTACATGCTCATCCATTTGCTGTGAAGTTTGGGTTATGAACGATTTGAGTTACGCCTGGTTCTGTGCGAGTATGATGTGCCTACTTTGCTTATGAATCATCTATTTTTATAGTCAAAGGGGGACACTTTTTGCAGTTGACTTTTTTGAACCTAAGCATCCGTTTAATTTGGTAGGGTCTGACAAATGTATTGACAATACCTTAAATAGCTATCTGAATCGGTTAGCAATCAGTCTTAAATTATCCAGTTCATAACATTGTTTTTAATATATATACAGTTCGTGAGCTTTTTCGTTGCATTGATTTCCTTTCCAATGTCAGTTTGGTTTATTGCCATGCCAACTGCATATTTTTTATTGCTTTTAGCAGAATTTCTGTGGTAAATTTCATTCCGAACAATTTCGTGAATTTCTGAATTAATGAGCTTTGTTTGCTATAAATTTAGGTTTCGACGCTCGTTGCAAAAATCACGGTTTGTAACAGCAATGGAAGGAATATTGCTTACAAAGTTTGCATCGTCGTCAAGTACCGTAATACGGCGATGCCAGCGCAAATAAACTCGTGAAAAATATTTAAATATAAATAAATTTATTAAAAGAAAGGGCGGGTAATACAAATTCAGTGAAACATTGTCATGAGGAACTCACGGTGCTCTTAGAACTTGAATATGTTTAATTAATAATACATAAGGCTAAAATTATTTGTGAACCTAGTTCGAAGGTGGTACAACATTTCAGTCGCTATATACGCAAAGTAAGTCCATATTCTTAAGGCCTGGAGACTGGTTAAGATTGCGTTTATACTGAAGGAAGGAAAGAGCTCACAGGATAGTGCTGAGGATTTCAGGCCCTTTAGCTAACCATTTTTTCGTTGAAAATGTTGGAGACACTCATTTATCTGAATATTAGGAGCAGAATATCGAAGGCTAAATTTGTTAAGGGTCCAGTATGCCTGTATAAAAGACAAGTCCGCCGAAACTGGCTTGCACGATGCAGTGACATGGCTGGAGGGAGTTCTTTTGCAGGGGAATTTGTTGTAGGCAACTTTCTCAAAGCGAGGGTGCAGCCGGTGGAGATGACGAAGATGAACCTCGAAAGGGTAAAGATTGAACGAACCCTATGAAAGACAAGTCCGTTGAAACTGACTTGCATGATGCAGTGTGAAAACTGAAAGGAGTTCCAATGAAAAAGGAATTTATTGTAGGCAAGTAATGTGGGGCCGCTGGAGGCGTTTACAGTGGAATCGAATCCAAGCACCTTATAGTATAGTATAGTCTTCTTTGTGACACTAGGATGTCAACAGAGTATGGTAGTGCAAAGTCATCACGATAGGCTAATAGGCGTATACAGCAATATGGGGTAGGTTCCTCAATTCTTTGGATTTTGTTCATCAACGACCTACTTAAAGTAACTGAGGGCGATAGTTAACACCTACAATTTTATTTTTATGGCAAAAGGAAAATGTCTAAATACCGTCTATGAGCTATCCGAAGGGTATCTCATTGTGGCGAAGGCGTCGACCCAAGTAAAACTGTTATGCTGTTATTTGCTAGGAGATATAAGATTCCAAACGCACCTTTTCCCTCTTTCGGAGGTTAACGTCTTCAATCTGTTATAAAGTGAAATATCTACCGCTTATCCTTGATAAAAGACTTTCATAATATTAAAGAGAGTTTTAGGAAAGTTCGGTTACCTTAAATTGCTTAAGATGAGAGATTGCTAAGAGAAAAGGTGGGATTTCTCATTAAATGTCTGGTAGAGGGCGCTCGGAAAGTCGACACTTGCTAAGATACGTGAATGGGGCAAAGAACCGAACTTATTAGCATTTCGGTTGCATTGCAGACCTCAAAAACAATAGCTCTTAATGCCAGGTGCATTGCTGCGAAGTGTGCTATAAGGGTTAGGGAAGCTTATGTATTCAACAAAAAAATGACGTGTTAAAACTCTCTCCTCCTTCAACTGCATTCCTTAGAATTTGGATTACTGCGTCACAGAGTTTACTAACGGAGGTTTTTCTGTGGTCACATATCAACAAAAAGTATGCGGCTGGGAAGAAATCGTTGGGGAAAAGGTGAAGTGATTTCCTTCATGGATGGGTCGAAGCTAGGAGGGAAGGTTGCAGTTTCTAAGCTATGAAAGATACGTATGACTATTGCAGAGCCGTGAGGGCGTTGAGTTCATCGCAATTGATGGTTAAGTTGAGGTTAAGACATCGAAGGCCGATTTCTATAATTTTGATTGCTGCAATAAAATTCCTTTCGGTTCAATGAGATATTTGAGTTAACACTTGGAATTACTTTTCTAATAGCTGTTGGAAAGGACGTAAGTGTTCTTTCAGTGTCTCCTATTCACATTATAAAGAAAAATTTAATTTAATATTCCAATTTGAACGCTACGTTGGCGCGAATTCAGTTTTAGCTTAGCGAAACCGCTATTCCTCTACAGCTGCTCAGTAACAGTTTTTACCATCCACAATTGCAATAAAAATTCAACAGCGATTTTATGCAACTTTTTGAGGCAACTCTTATAAAGCATCCTATCGCTGTCTCGTTTCCGCCGTCAAAGTTTCTATTTTTCGCTTGACGTACCTTCACCTTTATCTGCGAAGTTTCTGTTTATTCGCCGTATGATTCGCAGTTTTTTTCGTTTTTTCGTCAGTTTTTGTTTTACATTCGTGTTCATTTATTTACCGTTACTCGTTAAAGTGCACACATTGTCATGTGTTTGCTTGTATGCCGTACGTTGGCCAGACGAATGTGCAGACGTGGCGCCACAAGTTTGCATCAATGCTTGTCTGCTGACGCCATTGACCGCCGTCCAAACGTCAGCGCCCCCTCGTACCCTCGCAAAAGTCAATCTATGTTGTCGAGTGTCTAGAGTTTATTTTCATGCAATCTATTTTCGGCGTTCGCCGTTGCTTGCCAATAGTCTTCTGCAATTTTTTCTTAGCAAATTTTTCACATTTTTGTGCCATTTTCCACTTTTAGTCGGTTTTTTTTTTGGCTTTTACCGTCGCAAATGGTCAATTTGAAACGGATGTTGCCATGACAAAATGATGGAGCGACAGTTGGCGTCGATCGTTCTTGAGTCCACCAAGCACAGTTATTTGTATGCACACAGAGACAGTGTGTGTGTGTGTGTGTGTGTGTGCGGGCGGTCGTGCGTTGACGTTGAATTTGTTTATTTATAACTTTTTCTGAGTGCGCTGGCTGCTGCCCCTTGCAGTATGCAATAAGTGTCGAGATGCTCAGCACGTTGCCGAAAAATACATTAGCAAAATATGCGCGTACTGCGCTGGATGGGGTACACGGGGTCTGATGGTCTGTTTGATTATTCATAAAGTGATTCATACTTGCACTCGAAAAAGAAAGTTACCATTCACTATGTATGTATGTATGTATGTGTCATGGATACGTGACCACATATTTACTATGCCAATAATATGTGGTAATAATTACAGTTGAATACTATACTATTATTAATTCTTGCAAAATAATTGAATGCTTTCATGTACAATATACATATCTTAGAATCAATTGGTTCAAAATTGAAGAAATCTAAATTCAAAAATTTTACTTTATTTTGCAGGAAGTGCCGAAAATGCGGTGAATTGAGGTGAGTTACTTTAGTTTCAGCATTCTATTTTTATAAGTCGTATATTTTAATATCTAAATACATATTATAATTCATTAGAATAGATTCACTGATACAAGTATAATTAGTTCTCTAAGTACAAATTATTCCTGCTATTATCGTTTTATGGTACATTAGGGTGGGAACAAAAAATAAAAATTTCCTTTGTTCATATATATTAATATCTAGAATAACATAGATTGATCTCTTAAATTGGTTACTAAAGTAAAAATTATTTCTGAGATCACGGTTATATGGTATATTATGGGTGGGTAAAAATTTTAAAACTATCTTTTTCCTTTGAGACTCAGAAAAATAGGTTCTTAGACACTTCTAAGATAGCCTCTCTTAATTGTGATGAGAAGTATTTTTTCATCATAAGTTATGATTCAAGACCTATCTAAAGACATGCACCTGCATATCATTATTAGGGGGGTTTGTTTCAACCAACACTATTCCTCCAATTGTAATGTAATTTAACTTCTTGTGACTTTTCTGTTATATCTATTTTGATGTTTTGGCAGTGCCTCTTTGGTATTTAAATCTCCAGAAAACCGAGTACACATATGTACATATATGTACATATTACTTTGGAACCTGATTGCCTTATCATATTTTGCTACCGTTAATTAAATCTTCTTACATCTTCTGCGTATTATCTCAACGGTCATTATCGCCGTTTCTTGTCTTGGCATGCAATAAAATTATACCACATGTGTCGTGTTAATTACGTTCGTATATGTGCCGACACTTACCAACCACTTCCAGTTCACCGGCCGAGATTTCCGTGTGAAAGGATGGCGCATCTGCTGACACTTCACAACTATATTTGCCAGTGGTGGAGACAGTAACCGAGTCCAGTACCAATTGGCTCTCATTGGACGCCGAACGCTGCAATAAAAGAATGCGAAAGAAGCGCAATATCAATAAGTGATATGAGTAGTGAAACAAGAGCGCAATGATTGGGCCATCCAAATAATATTTAAGAACTGATGAAAAAAGTGAGAATGTGAATTAATCTTGTAAATGGAAATGAAGTCAGTGAAAAATACGTACACCAATTATAAAATTCCACGTTAAGAAAATGCAGCACAAAACCAAAAAAAATAAAAGAGAGAAAATGAAAAATTAATGGCCGCCAATATTGCACAATAAAAAAAAGTGAAGCAAGTGTGTGCAAACAAACAGCGTAATTATGATTGCAGTGCGCAGTTCCAGGGGAATTAAATGTTAATAAGATACATACATATTTATGCGCAAATTTTAATTGAGTAATTGCCGCGTTTGTAACCGTAGGAAAAATATTTATTTATGAACACGAACAAGAATTCTTTACTAAAAACTTGTTTGGGAAGTAGTCAGTCTTTATGACGTGAATTTTAACAGATTCTGCGGCCTCACTATCGGTACCTCCTCTGGTGTATAATACCGTAGGGTATTCTTGTCAAAGCATGACAAATGAACAAGAGCTGCTCCACCGTTTCTCTGGTGCCCTGCTCTAAACATTTCCAGCAGTATTTTCGATTTGTCAGCTCCATTCTGCGGGAGTGTGCCGCCACCATGCTAGAATTCCGATCATTTTCCTACAATATTTTCTATCGTGTGCCAATAGGAATTTTATGTACTTGCGATATACCTTTTTGCACAAGGCTTTTGAAGTCTTGAACCCAGGTAACTCGTTCCATTCTGTCGAGATCGTCGTGTAGATAATGCATGGGTTTCCTCATATTTATCACCTTTTCGGATGTTAGCCGCACACCATGCTTGACAATCTCGTCCAATATTTCGCTGCCCTCGATGCCTTTGTGATCTGACCCCCTGGAGCAGTGAAGTTGCATACTTCTGACAACACTTTCCACTGCTAGCCTGCTTCCCAAGTTACTTCTGGCCGATATGCGGTACGAGGTTACAGTTTTGATTGCTACTTGGCTGTCTATCATCAGATGTTGATTCTGGAATTGCCTGCAGTTGCTTTAGAGGCCGGCTCCGCTGCTTTCGCAATAGCAAAGACCTCAGCCTAAAATATACAGCAGTGGCCCAACAACTTAAAAGGTTACCTTTTGCCTAACTCTGTGCAGTATATACCCTCACCAATTCTATCATCCATTTTTGAGCCATCAGTACAGATGTTTAGACTGTTGTACGTAGTTAACATACCTTTACGACCTTCTTTCCCAGTTGAAAAATGTAGTCTGGTAGTCGGTGTTTGCTCAACCCATTGATCGATTCCCAAAAATTCTATATGTAAATAGGATAATTTTCGTTAGGCCACGAATAATCCCACCTGGATTATTAGAGACCTTGCCCGTTGTGATGTTCAAAACTCATAAGTATGGATCAAAACCAATATATACAGCATATGTACAAAGCGCCTAGAGCATAAATTTATTGAGCCGGCTAATAGCTATTCTAACCAATTTCCGGGTTCATAAAAAGTAAGGCAACGAAGCATATTTAACTCATTGCGTGAATGCGCTTAAGACAGTGACCAGTTAGGACACTTGTCATTACGGCTACGTGAACTTTGCTAAGAGTTAGTATTTACATTTATGTTCTACTTTATATTTTTGGAACAGAAGGAGACAAGTCATGGCTGGTGACCAGCATTCACTGCGCTTCCGTTAGGGCCCACAGATCCAGTACGCGTCCAGCGTTTTTAACAAGGAAAAAAAAAAGAGACTAATAGTCTTGAAATTGGCATTAATATGGGAGCATTTTCTAGCCTTTGAGATTAATGCCACTCTTCCAAGCCTTGAGTATGTGGCTTAATCTAATGTAATTTGCTTAGATGGGGGTTGCATAACCTTTACCGTGCCCTGAGGTAGTGCAGGTATGATGCCATAGGGTCGACTGGACTTTAAAGGATTGAACAAATTCAAAGCTCATGTGTTCAGAAGATCTAAGAAGGCTGTACCGCTTTTCTAAAGTATCCGCTAAGGACTAATCTTAGGGGCTGCCCAAAGTCCAATCACAATCTTCATTTCTGCTAGAATGCTCCATTGATCCTTCAGCTTGTATGAAAGCTATAGTGGTCTGATGTAATGAGTACCTAATCCCCTTTAGGGTGGTAAGGATTAGATAAGTTGTCATCGAGGTCATCCAACAGTAGGTCGAGAAAACGTGCTATTTCGACGGGGTCGGACTATGGGGAGACAGCTGTCAGATGTGTGGGGTTAGCATGGCATGCAAAGAGGTGTTTGATATGTTTGATATGTCAGGGCAGAATATGGATAAGTAGCAGTTAAACCTGCTACAGTGTCCATAACGAAGCCTCTGATCGGCAATTGCGGTATAGAATTTGTTTACGGGTTAGACAATAACTTCTTATGAGAAACCTAACTGTAACATTAAGGTGATTAAATGTTCAATGAACTAGGATTACATTTTAATAACGTACCATGAACCAAAGTTATAAATAATGCTTCGAAAAAATACTTTTGATGCACGTGATAATAATTTTGATTTCAAAATTTGAGAAAAAATATCTCAATCGTACTCTACTTTAACTTTGTAGAAGAAAAGTTTTGAAGTCTGGTTTAGAATGCACAGTTTTTAAGTCCACATTCTGCTCATAAAGGTGAAAAGGCCTTAAAACCCGACCAAAGAAGAGAATAGAAAGTCCGCTATAAAGTCTTAGATATTCGAAAATGTCAACATAAATGGCGCATGCGTCAGTGCCTAAAAGCATGCCAGTTTCTTTAGTGTTGTTAAGCGGAAATAGCAACCCATAAAACTTGAGAATGAAGGCGGCAAGCAGAGAAAGATAAATGCATGCTCAAGCGTACGAGAGCATAGCATTGGCATGTGCCCTAAACCGTTAACGGCTAGTTAAGGGGGGACTACTAGTGGCTGAAATGCAAGGTTGGCTGCAGGGAGTGGGCGCTTTTAAATGCTATTGCTTTGATATATGCGCTCAACTCTACTTTATATATGCCACTGCAAGCACGTTTGTTTATCCGCATACATAACTTACATATCCTGGCTGGCATGCACTTATATATGTATATGCAGGGGCAGGTCTCAGTATGTAAGTCCTGGTGCTTTGGCAAATTTGCGAAGATTGCAAAAATGAGTTATGTTTGCGCTTTTGGCCGCCCTTCATGTGCGCCGTGTAATGTGTGTGTGTGTGTATGAGCCGAACTACATGTGTGCTAACAATGCTATTAACATGTGCACTAGTATATGTGCATAGAGGGTGTGACGCTCTGTGCTCTACTACTGCGTACGAGTAGATTTGTGCGCTGTTTGCTGGTGAGCGAATTTGTTTGCTTGCGGTTTTATGCACACAAACACATGCACTTGCACATGTGTTCATTCTCAGCTCACAAGCGTAGCCGACAAGACTCTTAAAGAGCAGATAACATACGACTGCACTATAAATGCCAGCTACAGACACTTTTTCCTACATAAATAGGTGTGCATGTAGATTTACTGCTCGCTTGCAAATGGCTTTCAGCAATTACGTAGCCTCCTTGTGTCGCCTACTTTGTTCTATTCGCCATGTATTTGCATTTGTGTGGGTTTGTGGAATGCAATCAGTTAATAACGGCGATTAGAGATGACTTTGTGGTTTTATGTCTCCACCTACGTATCCGCGTGGGTGTTGAAGTGCTGAGTCGTTGGTTTGATAAAACACGGTCATAAAAGGCATTAAGTTTGGCTTTGAGCCACAAGGGATTTGCCAACAAATAAGTGTTTACTTGCACACATGAATGACACTACTTACTTAAAGCTTATAAAGTTAGTGAGAGGGGGAGTGCCGTATATGGGGTAGTTAATTTCTGCACCATAGTCAGTAAAAGGTCAAGGCCAGAAGTGGGGATGCTAAATCGTGTGTTTTCTTATTTGTGCAAAGATTGTTTTTATTTCATTAAGCTATTTGGTGATATTTCAAGCAGAAGCAATTGCATTCAGCTTTTATCCATAAGAGATAATTAGATATTTATTTATAAAAAAAAAATTATTATGTCCCCTTACATATTGTCAAGATATCGTAAGAAATGAAAAAAAAAAATAATAAAA